CTGGAGCATCATCTTCCATGCGAACGACAGAGATCTGGCCAGCGCTTTCGGTGATTTTTTGTGCGCTTAACTATATCCATGTCGCCGTATATGCCATACAGTTCGTATTTCTATCGCCAACGTGGACGGCTCCAAAGATCTTGCGAAGAACAGCTCTCTCAAATGCTTCAAGTAATTTTTCATCTCGGATCGTCATCATCCACTTGCTTACCGTACGCAGTATATGATCGTCACTCGTACAACTCTTGAGTTTCGATTTCAATTGCCTTGTGTAATTTTCAGCTTATGAAGCTCTTATCAAGACTGTATGGTATAAATTCATATGTCATCATACCTTCAATTCTTCTGGTAGTCCTAGTACCAATTGTCAAAAATTCTTCCCATCATTTTTAACAAAATATGATGTCACACTCATGGGTCTGTATGATTATGTTACAGAGTAAACTTCTTTTCTCAGTTAAGGAAACAGTTGTAATAGTAAGAATCTCAAAAGTTCAGGACAAAATCTCTCAACACGCTAAACCATTCGAAATCGGTTAAAGTTAGAAAGAATCCATCCAGTTTTAAAATATCTTCAAGGGGCTGACAGCAAATTGTAGCATCTAGTCAAGGGCTTAGCGCCATGAATGATGAGGATTCGACATTTTTATGCCTAGACCCGTACCTACTATCAAGTTTTAACAAAATAGAGCGCTGAAATTTGCTTCTCCAACATCGCGGTATAAATATATGCTTTTATATCATTTTATATCTCATAATCATAAAAATGGGCCATAAACAGAATCATATAAACATCTCTGGTATCGCCTCAAAGTAAAATTAACCGACTTATTAAATAATAGACTTAGAATGTCCTATAGTATAAGACCATTCACGTTTATATGAGGACCCTTATAAGAAATAATCGTTTGTTTGCATACTGATTTCTTAGCGAAATTGAATTAAATCAACACATCATGGATTCCTTATATGACTTGTGCGTATAAATTAGAAATTTAGCTCGTTTACACTCCCATAAATACAATAAAATCAGAAATCGATTTGAAAAGCAAATAAAAATTTAGTTCAGCCATTAAGTGTTCAACATTATATATGTTTGCATTTGATAAACACATTTCTCATAAAGATATAGAAATTTGTACTATAAAAGAATAACTGCAAAGTCGTCTGCCATACGCCACTTTTCTGCTTGTCTAGAGCACCGCTCTCTTGTCATGAAAATTGCAATTGATAGCAATGAGAGAGCATGTAGAGTACAGGTTTGAAGTGGCATAACCACTTTATATTGATTATGGCAGTTTATTGGATTTATACCAGTCGTTTATTATATTCGCAACGCTTCAAAGAAACAGCGAATGAAGGCTGATTGAAAAATAATAATTACTTCTTCACAACAAATATTGCATAAATATGTATTTCTATACCGAATTCGATCAAATTTTCCATACTCGCTAACTAAGATATAAAGGGTGATCCATTAAAGGCTCACTAAATTTTTAAAGAAAGATTAACTCTTTCATATGTTGGTCGCTTCTATGTCTAATCATCTGTTGCGTCTAATTTTCGATGACTCGTTCCAGCATTTCGACCGGTAACAGGCTCCAAGGTCTAAAGCGTAGGGGGATTGTCCGCATAGACTTTAGACTTTACAAATATCCACAGCGAAAAGTCGAACGGTTTAATATCACGCGATCTTAGAGACCAATCGACCGGTCCAAAACGTGAAATTATCTGCTCAACGAAGTGTTCTCTCACTAAATCTATTGATTGATAAGATGGGTGGGAAGTGGCGCCATCTTGTTGAAACCAAATGTCTTCAGCCAGGAATGGGCTTCACCGATGAAAGAAATTTGGATGGAAAACTTCGAATCGTCTTGAAACTTTTCCATACGTCAGTCGGCTCACCACATACATGACATGATACATAGAGACTCATTAATTTGTATTATGATTACATTTCGCACCATCAACAAGAAAACAATTTTTAATTCACATTTATATATGAATATAGTATAATCATACGTTTGAATTTACACATACTTAATATCATATACTGGCAGAATTATTGAAATACCTTAAATTAAGCTCACTTCAGTGCAAACTAACCGTAACCACAAATAATAATTTTTTCCAATGCAAATTTCAAGTTAACCGCATTAGCGGGATACTTAAGTGAATGGGAAATCAGTAACTGGTTAGACAAAATACCTAACTATTTATATATATACATATATATAGTACATATAAATATTTATATTCTTTTTTGCATTACAATAGTAAACAGTTAGTTAAGCTACGCGGTGAATGCGAGTTACTTGAATTCGTCACAATTTAATATTCGCTCAGACCTAGAGACATAGGAAAGTATTGCATAAGTAAGTGATTTTGAAGGAGAGCTTCCCACATAAGCGTAGAAATATAATTATCATGAATTATACATTATGGGTGACAATCACTACGCCTGAATAACTTTATGCTATACAGATATTCGCATAACTAATTATATAACTAGAAATTAAAGAGTTAAATAAAAGGATTAGTATAGATGAAGCGCGCGTAAGTAGTGAATAATTAGTAAGTATACATTTAAAAGTCGATACAAAAGATGCATCGCGTTCCATTCGCATATTTGGAAAGTATTGTCTAGCATGATTTGTGATGCTGGCTACGCGTAAATTTTAAATAGACATTGTTAAATTGTAGTAATTTTCGTACCTTAAATTTCTTTCGATTTTCTATTTCTTTTTTTCTTTTTTTTTTTTTTTCTTCAATTGAAACTCGCAGATTCTTCAATAAAATTTGGTTATGATAGACACCACTGTGTTTCCAACTACCATAGTAATAACTTTACAAAATTTTCGCAATAACGCCTAAAAGTATGCTATATATTTGTAACAAAGTTCGTAAATTTTCAAATAAATGACATTGTCACAACGTTTTTCTCATACCCTGAACACATTATGTTAAGTTTGCTATGTATGACAGTTGTAACAATTAGAAGGCAAGGCCCTATCAAATATATATACAAGGTCTTCGAAAATTAACACAATATTTAAATATGCCGCCATTTCAATTAATCTTCACAGTTGATGAAGTTATTTTGTATGAAACCACCAACTATATTTTATATGAGATTTTCGAACTGCGGACGTCAAACTTTTCATAAGATATTTTCATAAGATATTTTCATAAGATATTTTCATAAGATATTTTCATAAGATATTTTCATAAGATATTTTCATTAAGTCAAACAGGACATTTGGCGACTTTTTGCTTATTTTCGGCTTGAGAGTGCCGATAAGTGATCGAAATGCAAGAAATATAATTTTCAAAAATTCGGGAGCACACTCAATCCCTTATTTAAGAAATTCGTAATCTAGACCATTGAAACCCACAAAATTTGTAAATATAGCCAACGCAACATCAAATGATATTTTTTGTAGAGCTGTATAATTTGTTGGGACGATCTATAAGAGATGTCGATAAATAAATATCTATATCTACAAAGTGCTTTTCAAAGTAACTGGACTTTTTGAATCCAGCGCCATCTGTTGGCGCCATCTATATTGTCCAGTGAGAATTCCATGCCATTTGATAGATGGGAAGTGAAGTTATTGCGTTTCAAGTGTCAGTATGTTTGTGTTATCGGTGCGAAAATGAGCTTCGAACAAAGAGCCAACATTACATTTGCTTTTAAAATTGGTAAAACTTTTCCTGAAACGTTTCATTTGATAAAACAAGTTTATAGCGATTATTGCCAATTCCGTAGCAGAGTGCACGAGTGGTTTCAACGTTTTCAAAATGGTCGTGAGGACATAAATGACGATCAACAAGTGGGTCAATCAAAATCCGTGATCAACGGAAATTCCATCGAAATTGTGCGTGGATTCATCAAAACCCAGTCAAACTCATCATTGAAATTCATGGAAATGGAATTGAACATCTTCAAAACATCGATTTATCGCATTTTGGTCGAACAGATGGGCTTACGAAAGGTGTGTGCACGGTTTGTTCTGCACAAATTGACTGACGACCAAAAATTGCCCAAAATCCAACATTCGAAGGACATCATTGTGACCGATTATTTGGTCAAAAATCACATTTTAACAATTAACCCCGCCCCGTATTCACCTGATATGACACCCTGCGACTTCTTCCTTTTCGCATAAATGCATTTGCCCATGAAAGGCAAGCATTATGAAGACGTAGAGATCATACCGACCAACGAGCTAAAACACTAGTTCGACATGCGTAAAAAGCTGTATTGAATCAGTAGGAGACTATTTTCAATAAAATAAATTGATTTCGCCGAAAAAACCATTTGTTCTGTTTTTTAAAGTCGTTTTTACCTTGTATACCTATATATAAATATCTTAGAATTTCATTTTCGATAAAAAAAAATTCTAGAGTTTAAGCAGGTGCCAAGTTAAACAGAAATACTCTCTATGAGCCATTAAGGACTGAGTGGAACGTCTCACTACTACTATTTGGCAATACCTCTGAGACTATCTTAATACGCCAGCTAACTAAGATAATCAAAATTTGTAGCGGGAATTTTTAAAGTTTGGAAAATCAACTTTCTGAATATGTGATGGTTATTTTTGAGATACGATAATTAGCTGGTGAAATTTTAGTTTAAATGAAAAAAACGAAAATTCCTATGTAAAACGCATGGGTCTCCAAAAAAATAGCGAAGCCTTGCAGTTAAGCTGCAGCGCCTGGCTTGAGGGAGGATTTTTTGTTTGTCAATCACTAACATTTGAGGGGGTAAGAGTTGAAAAAAATTAAAAAAAACATTTGAGCCGAAGGTCCTGGCACTGACTGCCTTTTTTTCGTGCAAATAAAATAATTGTATTATTTTTTTCACATTTATAAATAAAATAAATAAAATAAATAAAATAAAAAAACATTTTTTGAAGCACCCTAATATATATACATTTACTTTATCCTTCCAAAAAATATAAAATTTATTCAATATAATTTTGTTTTTTAATTTTCAGGCGAGTTTGGACGCTATCAGGCTATACAATTCTTTCTGCAAGTGCTCTCTGGCCTAACAGCTGGTCTGCATTTGCTTTCGTTAGTTACCATAGCCGCGGTGCCCGAACATCGTTGCTTCATCGAGGGCATCGATAATAGCAGTTACTCTTACACACCTTGGAACTCCTCGGACATACTCGCCGCGATACCATTGAAACCCACTGGCGAGTTGGATAACTGTCATATGTACGATGCGCAAAATAATACGGTCGCATGTACCTCGTATGTCTATGATCGTACATATTATCAGGATACGCGCGCAATCGATTGGAATTTAGTATGCGACCGCCGATGGCTCGGTTCTGTGGCACAAACTGTTTTAATGTTGGGCGTATTCACTGGTGCTGTCACTTTGGGTGGTCTGGCCGATAAAGTTGGACGTAAAACGGTATTCTGTTGGTCGGCGCTATTGCAGTTGGTCATTGGTGTCGCAGTGGCTTTCATACCAGAGTATTTTTCTTTTATGGCAGCGCGTTTCTTCCTGGGCCTTTTCGGCTCGGCGGGCTCATACATATGTGGCTTCGTACTCACCATGGAACTAGTGGGCGCCAGTAAACGCACAGTTTGCGGCATTACATTCCAGGTGTGTATCATAATATAATGCTCATGCTCCGTTTAGACTAAATCATGCCTAAAATGTACATTTACAGACTGTCTTCGCCGGTGGTATCATGTTGGTAGCCGGTTGGGGTGCACTCATCAAGGATCGTCAGCTGCTGCAAATAATTTATGGCCTACATGGTCTGCTCTTTATCGGCCATTGGTGGTGGTTAGACGAATCGCCACGTTGGCTATGGATGCAGGGACGTGCCGAGGAGGCAGTCGACATTGTCATCAGAGGTTTACGCATTAACGGCTCTGGCATACCGGTGGATAAAAATTACTATGTACAGAAAGCCAAGCAACAGACAGCAGCGGAGGAGAAGCCCTCCGCCGGCTTGGGTGGCCTTTTCAGCACACCCAATCTACGTATGAAGACACTTAATGTTTGCCTTTGTTGGTTTGCCAACTCGCTCGTCTATTACGGGCTTTCACTCAGCGCTGGTAAATTGTATGGCAATCCTTTTCTCATACTCTTCGTTATGGGTCTCGTAGAGTTCCCCAGCTACTTTACAATTATGGTAGTACTGGATCGTTTGGGCCGCCGTCCCATTACTAGCACGCTTATGATTGCTGGCGGTCTATGTTGCATTGTAACGGCATTTATTGCCCAAGGTAGCAACACGTCGACGGGTATCGTTATGATGGGTAAACTGTTTATTGCCGGTTCCTTTGCTGTGATCTACAATTACTCGGCCGAACTGTTTCCAACTGTTGTGCGTAACTCGGCGATGGGTCTGGGTTCGATGTGTGCGCGTTTCTCCGGTGCGCTCACGCCACTCATCACGTTGCTCGATTCATTTGATCCGAAAATTCCTGCCGTTGTCTTCGGTATTATTTCACTCATCTCTGGTTTTTGGGTTATGTTCCTGCCGGAAACAATGAACCAACCTATGCCCGAGTCATTAGAAGATGGTGAGAACTTTGGCAAGGGTGACACATGGTTCACACAATGTGCGGGTCGTAAATCCAGAAGAGCTAGTAATTACCCAGAAGACCCCGAACAGATGGTGCCACTGAAAACGATACAGAAATAGGAAAAATACTACACATTCCTCTGATATTCGGCGTTTTTGTTATACATACCTATGTATGTTATTTCCATATCGTATATTATTATTGTTATTACTTACTTAATAAGTAGTAAATTGTTTTTTAAATTGTTACCTCGGCTTAGTGTTGAACTTACACCCATATCCTCTAAGCGTTACGAAGTTCGAAGCGTAAATAACGTCGTTGGAGAGTATATTTTATGACGATGTTTTCTAAGCAGTTAAATATAGCACACATTCCCGTTAGATACGAACAAAACTGTAATATTTCGCATATATTATACATTTTGATAAAACTGTAAAATAAAACTAATATAAACAAAATAAAATGTATATTTTTTATTTCATAATTAAATTGTAAAACAAATATGTTTCTAGGCTGACCGTCTTAACGAGCACGGGGTGTTTCTTGATTTTTAAGTGGATTGTCGACTCAGCAGTATATCTCAAAAACCCACCAGCAGTTTCTGTTCATAGGTCTGGTAGTGAACGAAGGCAAGACGAAAGATCTCCTGCCATCAAAGAAACAGTCATGACGACACTCGTGACTTGACTCCTACGTCACTATTGAATGTCATAACTTCTAAGTCGTAGATAATTTCGTCTAACTTGGAACCAACCAACAACAATGTCAGCCTTGAAATCCAATGTAGAATAATTCTTGTCAACAGGTGCTACTGAACTGAGTAGGTAATAGAAAAGATAATTCCACTCGTGACGAACAAAGACCAAACTCCACAAATCACTAATTATTTCCGTCCTGCAGTATGGTGCAGAGGCATGAATGATGACAACATCTGATGAGTTCACGTTACGAGTTTTTAAGAGAAAAGTTATGCAGAAGATGTATAGTCCTTTGCGCATCGGCAACGGCGAGTATCGCATTCGATGGAACGATGAGCTTTACGAGTTAAACGACGCCATTGACATAATTCAGAGGTTCCGATTGGATGAAAACACTCCAGTTCGCAGAGAAGCTTAGGAAGAGGAAGACCACCATTCCGTTGGAGAGATCGGGTGGAGAACAACCTAACTGCACTTGGCATCTCGAAAAAGTCTAAAATTGCTAAAATAAAGGACGATTCTAGTGCTGTCTACGCCATTAAAAAAAAAGAAGAAGGTTCCATTAAATAACGACGGCAACCTGTGTATAATTGTATAGCATATTGGCTACCGTGTTCGATATTTCATAAGTTCTTCTTTTATACAAACACCGTCAGAATTTTCAGAGTTTTCCTTAAAAAAGTAGCCAACGATAGCAAAGTCTTTATTTTCAGACACTTCGTTCCAGTGGAGAGTAACCCATCTTCGCGGTGTGTTTTCCTGATTTATTGAAAAGCGAGGGTAAACAATAAAAAAAAAACACAACAGGCAATATCATACACGTATTTCAAAACACGAAATTCGTCAAGGCGTGATCTACGGCCTCGAATGGCTTCACCATGTTAACAATAAAGACTGATTCTTGAAGGAACTTCGTCGCCAAAATTTAAGTTCATCGAGCATAAGAAATTAATCCAAGTTAAAAGTTGCAAAAATTAATCGAGATTTAATTTAATTTTTTGGATGAGACATTACATTTACTTGAACCATGAAGATGATTGTATTAAATAAAGCAGTATTTATACAGTTTAATATATATACAAATTTTAAATCGACCTTCTAAAATCAAATCCTACCAAATAGAAAAAACTCATTATAATTCGTAGACGGTGGTTGTATAATACTGTAGTCTGTACGTGCATGGGATGGATATCGGATAGAAAAATTTCCCAAAACAAAGCGAAGTGAGGCAAGTTTTGAGAACCTTCGAGAACTTCTTTTGCAGTGACTTCAATGTCATGGAGCGTGTGCCGCAACGCCAGGGCGATCAATCTATAATATTATGAAGCATGTTCGTTATCAGCCACGTTTTCATATGACAGAGTGGCGGAAGCATTCACAGCTCGCATTTTTCACAGGAAGTGTGCAGAATAGGCGAAGAGAACTATGAATTATATATATCTACATCGAGTTTTTCAAAATTTCCAATGCAGTAGTTGGTAACTTATTGTCTTTTGACTTTTGCTTCTGCCCCCATTGGCACTGCCAGTGATCAAGTTCACCTTTGAGTTTCAAACGTCGCATTATCCAAAAGGGCCTTGAATCTATCTATCAAGTGGTGAAAAGAATTTTCAATTTCTTTGGTTTTCAAAGCACATACTTTTTCTGAAGCAGCAATCTCATCTAGCAAAGCGAAATTTTCGTGTTTTGTTTGTCGGCCGCATTTTCTTGGTTTTTCTTCGTCAACTTTAGATATAAAATATCACATGGCCAAAAAATCCGAATTATAAATTAAAATTTGCACACGGCTGTGATGAGTATCCTGCTTTTTTACAGTTACTAATTTTTGCCTATGTTGGAAAACTTGGAGGATAAAAAGATACATTCTCTATCGAAAATATCACAGATGGAGCTGAACGCAGCATCTATTTCAAATTCTCTATCACACCGCGTCACTTCAAATTCAGCACTTTCAGTTACGGATCTGATTGGATTCATTAAGAATTTAATCTGCATACGTTGCTACACAACTTCTGTGATATTTTAGCATTATTTATAATATTCAAAACTGGAGACAGTCTTTAATTTTGTTTCTGAAATGCAATGGCAAATTTCTGTATTATATTTTTGTTACTTCATATTTTTCAGCTTAGTAAAATTACTAATAAGCCATTTAGCCTTGCAAATTTTCCCGATTTCCCCCCTCAAAATCCGCCACTTTAAAGTCAAGTGATTTAACAGATTGCAACACTAGGGTTTCCGAAATATTATAGAATAGGCAAGCTAATTGGAAGAAATCAAAAAATTTCATATAAAATATATGGAAAAAAGATAAACTGATTTTAACTGACACTTCAAGTGGTGTTTGGAGCTCTAGTTTCAAAAGTAAGGAATATGGTATACTGACTTACTCTACTTCTGCCTTCATTTAGTGTCAAGAAAAGAGAGGTCAGAACCTGGAATTAAAGCCAAGTTTTGGATCAAAGTTGATTCCTTTCTCCCTAAAAATATGCACGCATATCAAATCACTGCACTTTAAGCATATGTGTGAGTATGAGTACGTATAACGGAAGTGGGATGGAATGTACTAATTTTAGTTTTGGCAGATGCGCAATTAGCTTTCACTTGTACAGAGAAAACATTTTTGACTCTCGTGTTGTAGTAAATTGTATTAAACCAATCAGAATTAGCTTTTGTTAAAGGAAATGACTCTACCATTTGTTATTTTAATAATTTAAAAAATTCCATTTATTCAAGATTCGGTTTCGTGTTTTATGGAATATATTAAAATTGACAACAAAAATAAATTGTGTTAATCAATTGGCTCTTTCACTCTTTTGTTACTGTTATTTACGGTCTGTTTAGTAATTCGTATATTTTTATAACGGTCGGTCAAACAAGTTAATCCCGAATTAAAGCTTTGCACATTAAACAATATTTCTTCGATAATGTTACCTACGGAACAAAAGAAAACGTTCTGTGTATAATTTCCGGATACTTTTTGTCACAATGTAAAATTTAACATGTATTATCGATGAGGCAGAAACAATTTTCCACAATTTATGACGGCTAAAGAAATTATTGATCCATTTCAACCTATATTCGACATACAGGCATATTATTATTACAAACAGATTCTTTCCGAATTTCTATAATATATATTATAGATTTACCGATATTTTGGATAAAAAGTTTGCAATTGGAACTGTGATTCCCATATTAGGTATCTGGCGATTTAAATCGTTTTGGTCCGATTTGGACTATATTTGGTCGCGTACTATCCGAAATTGAAAGGATCAAATGGAATTTAAATTTTGGTTATATGCGAAGCAGGCGTGGTTGAAGTCCAATTTGTTTGCACAGTTGTTAAGGTCAGTTTCTGGAATAGCGATCAATGCCCGTAGCGATTCACGTTTAATGTCTTCAATTGAGTTTGAGTTTGGTGAATAACCAGATGTCACACAGAGCTAAAGCAGGTGAACACGGTGGTTGAGGCGCGATATTTGCAAAACACTCACGTAGAATCAGTGCAGTATACGACGGTGCTTTATCGTGGTACAAGAGTTGTCGGCTCATAATTTCGGCCTCTTTTATGTATGTATATGTAGTAATTCTTCTTGTAAACAGTTTGGCCGGTCGAAAGGAATTCGGAGTGCACCATATTTCGATAATCGAAGAAAACTGTCAACATAATACCATGTTCAGATTGACACTTAATCACACGATTTCGGCTGTTGAGTGGTTTATCCCACTAATCTTATCAATTTATCAAGATTTCGCCGTACACAAATGACAGTTCAAAATCACTACATTGAAGTGATTTAAAACTGTTTCACGTTAAATCGCTCTGTGCGACTCTGATTTTGCGCCATTTACTTGTCAGCATTGGAAATCAGTTACATTTTCACAGCTGATTTAGACACTACAAAGGGAAGAAATTTAAACAAACAAATTTTTTTTAAAGCAATGAATCTAATTTCATCTGAAAATCAACTTCCCAAATGAAAAAAATCGTCCATTATGTCCATTATATGGAAAATATTTAAAAGAATACGGCTTTTATTACAAAATACTATATGACAATGTTTTCTTTTGATAAATATTAAGCGATGTGATTTCTTGAATGGCAAAAACAGCTGTTTTTTCATCTTTCCAAAGGCAGTGAGAACGGGCTGATTAGTGAAGGGCTTAAATGTAATCTAATCCTTTAAAATTTTCGGTCTGAACATGGTATAACCTAGATTTTTGACCAGTTTAACGTGGTTTATTCAGCTTCGTCTTACGTTTGTGTCGGCATTCGTCCGATTGATCGTAAGTTTCCGGGTCGTAAGCATAGATCCACGGCTCATCCCCAGTAACAATATATTTCGTGGCATTCTATCGAAATGATTTTTTCACAAACGATAACGCGACGCGTTTACGAAAAAATGAAATGATTTTAATACCAATCGTTCTTTCACTTTTCTTAGGCCCAATGATATTTCAAAATGTTTTTCCACCTGATCCTTCCGATATTCCAACGATGAAGGTAAGATCTCTGACAGTAAATTGTCGATTCTTAAATACCAGTTCCTTTATTTTATTGACATGTTGATCATCAGATGATGTTCTCTACCCTCTTTCAATAATTTGTACCAATTAAAAACACTTCCTCGCGACAAAAAATTATCACCGAAGGCCTTTTCCAAATTCTCAACGTTTCGGCACCAGAAATTTGAAAACATGGAAAAGAAATATTTCGACGAATGGGGTTTCGCGCGAAATTTAAATTAAAGAGTCT